CATTCAAATATTTTATCTAGAAACCAACAAGCCTGTTTTACATTAGGTAATGAATTGAGAGGCAGACTGACTTTGAAACTAATACAGCTTCGGATTCATAGACTCTCACTTGGGCCCTTTCTAAGGTCTTGGGAGAAGCCCTAAAATGTGCGCAAGTGTTTTGGTGAAATTTGCAAAAGTAGCATATTTTAATTGTAACATTATTATTATTATTATTATTTTATAATTACCTCTTTGTCACCCAGGCTGGAGTGCAGTGGCGGGATCTCAGCTCACTGCAACCTCTGCCTCTCGGGTTCAAGGGATTCTCCTGCTTCAGCCTCCTGAATAGCTGTAATTACAGGGGCTCTCCACCACACTTGGCTAGTTTTTGTGTTTTTAGTAGAGACGAGATTTCACCCTGTTGGCCAGGCTGGTCTCGAACTCCTGACCTCAAGTGATCCACCCGCCTTGGCCTCCCAAAGTGCTGGGATTACAGGTGTGAGCCACCATACCCGGCCTTAATTGCAATCATTTAAAATTGCTGTTTCCTCTCCAGCTTTCCCTGTCAGATTTCCCCTCACACTGGGTGTCATTGGAGTGCTGGTGACCATTTTTGGGATGAAGCTAAGGGAAAGCTGAATTGGAAACACGTTCCTTTAGGCTTAGTGAGATATATCTCTACACCTTGCAATATATCTTCTCCATAGAATTAAGTTATTGCTCACTGTTCCAAAGGAAGAAAAGGTTTCCAGGTGTGACACAAAGGCATCACAGGGTATGTGTTCTGTGGGTTATCCCGGTATTCTTGTTCAAGAAAAAGCTGCCTCTGTCTTACCCCAAAGTTTCTGACCACTATGGTATTTTGTAACAATTTTTTCTCTTTCAGATTTGTGTCTCAAATGGAGTGTTTTAAACACATATGACAAGTTAGAATTTTCTTTAAAGAATCTAAGTGTAATGTTTACCCTTTGGAAGCTGCTCAAGTCTGTAATGATACCAAAGGGGGGCAGGGAAGTGCTGGGAAGGGAAGGGTGTGGTCCCCGGCTAGGGCTCCAACCCTGTGCCTGTGCCTAGGGACCTAGGTGAGGACACGCATTTTTGTTTTCCTGCCCAAATGTTGTGTTTCCCAAGACCACCTAATGTTGCATTTCCCAAGTCATACCTAAACTAATTCTTTAAGACAAAAACAGAAATTCTAAGTAGAAGTAATGAATAGACCCCTGGGATTGTTTGACAATCAAATTAATGAAGAGAAGTGAATCATATGAACATAATGGGGAAATATTTATATTTTTGGCTCGTTCAAGACAAAATGCTGTCGTTGATGAAGATAGTGTAAAACTTATAATAAATTACAAACTAGTTAACGAATGTTATCAATTTAAGAGATATTTTAAGATTAGTCACTGTATAAGAAAACTTGAAATCCTTGTAACCTTAGAGCTTATATATGAAAGAAATTTGATAAATGTCTTTCTAAATTTGACAACAACCCTTAAAAGTGTAAACTGTACTAATACCAATAACTAGGAAATTTTTCTAAATTATCTATAATGAAAAACAATTTTCAAACAGTTATTTTGAAGAATAGACTGGATCCCAGATTTTTTTTTGATTCTAGTAGCTTCATAGAAAATTATACTTTAAATCATAATGTGAAGAGGTGCTCAAAGAGTATGTGGTAAAAAAAAAAATACAAAAATAAATATTACAGAAATACACAGTTAACTAAAGATTATTATTTAAATTTTTAATTTTTGTGGTGTTTATAACTACTAGTTTTTAAATTGTTGTGATTTATTTTCTAAGTGGATTTCACTTTTGCAATTAATTTTTTATTCTTTCTCTTAAAGAGGGACTCCAAATCGTATAAACTTCAGGCTCCACACTTTGGTACCAGTGTTTGATCTGAAAGATGTTGCCAGATAAACATACTTTTTTGTTGTTGTTGTTGGCCAGGCAAGGCATAGGCTTTGCGTTTGCTCATTGGGCCATGAAAAAGAGTGTTTGCATCTTCTGGGAACCTCTCTTTGGGTTGAGCTGGCAGAATACCTCCCAAAGTGTCAGCAGCCTCAAGTAAGAGCTCCTCCTCAATAAGCAATGCTGTGAAATATGATGCAACATCTTGTCTCATTAGAATATTGTTTTCTGTGTTGCTGAACTAGGAGTTAGGAAATATATATTTGTGACATTAAGAAATGGTGTTTCAAATTTCATGAATCTCGGTGGTCCTTGAAATAGTTTTATTTTATTTTATTTTATTTTATTTTGAGATGGAGTTTCGCTCTTGTTGGAGTGCAATGGCGTGATCTCGGCTCACTGCAGCCTCAGCCTCCAGGGTTCAAGCGATTCTCTTGCCTCAGCCTCCCAAGTAGCTGGGATTACAGGCATGTGCCACCACGCCTGGCTAATTCTGTATTTTTAGTAGAGATGGAGTTTCTCCATGTTGGTCAGGCTGGTCTTGAACTGCCGACCTCAGGTGATCCGCCCACCTTGGCCTCCCAAAGTGCTGGGATTATGGGCATGAGCCACCGCGCCTGGCTGAAATAGTTTTATTGAGAGGCTTATGGTCCATGAAGGCAAAGATTATTGGTGAGAAGAGCAAGTGAGTGACAAGGAGCCAGAAAAAAAAGGAGATGAGTCTTGGTTCCACTGAATAGTCAATGGACAATGAATACCATGGGAAAAGGGATATTACTTTCCATTTCACAATCTGTGTGGTCCCTAGAATTAGCTATTTCAGAACCAGAAAAACTGCTTGATAAAGTGGCTTCAAATAGTCATAAAAAATATTTATTGAACCTCTACTGCATGTCTGGAGTTGAGCCAGGTACTGGGAATATATGGATGACTTAGGTTATGGTTTATCCTCTTAGGGAGCTAAACAACTAGTTAGGAAGACAGGAAATTGACACCAGAATACAATTTTAAGTTTAACTTTATGAAATTGCCTTTTTATTATATGTCAATAATGGTTATTTCATATGATTGGCAATTTCATGTGATTGAATATCAATAGTTGCACATGGTTCAACGTGAATAGCTACAGAGGTAATATTTTTCCCTTTAGTGGGCCGGTACCTGGTTAATGAATGCAAGAAGTTATCACCCAGTCAGTCTGATAACTGATCAAGCAAACTCTTCCATACATTGCTGAATACAGAAAATGAGAGTGGAGGGGATGGTGGTGAGGTGTCATCTCTCATTTTAAAATCGTGTCATCTCTCATTTTAAGATCCTTGCAATTTTTACAGAAATCAGTTCAGGCTTGATTGACTGAAAAATATCCCCAGAGGAGGTGGGACTTGAGCTGGAAACTGAAGAAGAGTGTGGACTCAATTAGGTGGAGGAAGTATGAGCGTTCATTTTTCCCTCTACCCTTGGAAAAGTGAACAGGGTGGAATGGAATTGCAACACGGTTCAGGTAGGGAGGAAAAGGAAAGAAAATAGAGAAGAATAGTATAATTTTGGTGAAGGGACTGGGGATAGGAAGGGGAAGGTCTTGGGTTATGAACCAGAAATTAAAAAAAATAAAAATTTAAAAAGTAGATTCAAGGTCAACCCATGAAGATCCTCGAGTGAGCTTGGATGTTGTTCTGAAGGTAATGGACCAGGTAATGGTAATTTTCCTGGAAAATTCAGGGAAGAGTGTTTCAGGAAATCTCTATTGGGTTCTTGCTTTCCGCATTCTATACTCCTCCTGGAATCGGTGTTGTAACAACTGCAAACCTGCCCATAGGCAGGTGAATTTCAAAGCCCTGGATACAAATTATTAGAGGGGCTTGGGTTGGCTGTTGTGTACCAAGAGGGCACAGCAACTCTGGAGTGCTTTGACACTTCCCCAAAGTAGTGCAAGATCAGCTCTAACTCATAGAAAAATAGAAAACCATTACTGAGAAGGAATAATTTGCATGTGAACACACTCTATTTGTGTTTTCACACAATGCTTATGTGTTTGTGTGTGTTAAATAGGTTCAAAAATTAAGCCTGAGAAAAACCAGGCAACACAGAAGAATTACTGTAGTTCAGAAGTATGAGTAGTCTGGTCTACAGGACAGCAAAAACATATCTGATGTCTTCTACAGACTAAAGTTCCAAGTCACTAGTATCCATTTCACACAGCCTTCTCTCCTGTGCGTTTGTATGGCCACTTCTCAGGAATGCTGGTGAGAAGCCCGTGATACAACCAATATGAAAATGTTCCACCACTGTAATATTCTAGATATTTGAAAAGACAATGGATGAGAATGAAAATGATGCATAAACAATAATATTAATGTTAAAAGTAAACAGTACTACAGGTGGTGATAAAGGCTATTAAAATATAGAAGAGTTCAAGAGGAAGAGAAATGAATGGATGTTTGCCTTTTCAAAGAGGGTGGGTTTGTAAATGCCAGGAAATCCAGTTTCCTTTAGGGATTATTCACTGGTCTCATCATCTTCTCTTCTCAAGGCATTTAAATAACAGGATCCACTTTAATAAAAAATGTCAAACCCCTCACGCCTTCACTAGCAGCCAGAAAAGCACGCGTATGGTCTATACTATACAATTTAGCCACGAATGACACCTGCTTTGCTTTGTTTTCTATTGCGTTAGGCGTCAGCCTCGTGTGCTCAGAATAGATCTTAAGCTCCTTGAAGGCAAGAAAGAACCCGGCCCCAGACTGCGTCCGACACGCAGAATGCTCGTAGGAAGCACAGGCTGATTTATGGAAAATAAAAGGGCCTTCGATTTCGAACTACAGCTCCCCCTTAAAGATGCTTTCCGCAGCCCGCGCGGCCGCCCACGGGGGACACTGTCTAGCGCCCCTCGCCCCTGAGCCGCTCTCCCTCGGTGCTGTTCCCCGCTGTGACCGGGAGGAGGCGCCACGGACTCGAGCTAAGCTTCTTCCCCATTCCGTCCCCCTTCCTACCCCACTTCCCCAGCACATGACGTGGGAAGCTGCCTCCTTCAGAGTCTTAGCAAGAGGAGTGAGGGGGTGCAGGGGCTTGGGGGTGGGGTGGGGTGGGGGGTGTGGAGAAAGAGGACACGCGCGCTCACATCCGCCCCTGGGAGCAGAAGCAGCATCTTCCCCAGCTTCGTGGGTTTCTCCTCCCACCGGAGCCAGGGTGTGAGAGGTAGGGGGGTGTGTGTGTCTGTGTGTGTGCGCGGCACGTTTTTGAGTGTGAGACCCAAATCCAGACCAGGCAACCCGCGCTCCCCGCGCCTCCCCCCGTCCCCGGTGATTAATACCCATTTTTCTGACGCTCCCCTCCTCCCCTCCTGCTCTCCCTCTCCGGCTGCCGCGCGGTTGACTTGCACAGCCTGCCCCCGCCCGCTTCCCTTCCCCCGGCTCCGATCCTCACCAACTGGAATCTGGGCTCCTGCCTCTCCACCCCCCACCCCCCACCTCTTTTTGAGAAAGGAAGGTTTCCCCCACCCCCTTTCAAAAACCACTTCCTCCGGCTTCTTCACCTCTAGGAAATCTCGGGGCTTCGCTCTATCGAGAGTGCTCGTCAGGGTGATTCTTGATCACCACCATTCAGAAGTGCTGGCGTCCGAATGCATATCCTTTTGCCTTGCAAAGAAGAGTCGTGAACTTCAAAACCCCCGAGACGGATCATTAATCCTGCTTTGCAGGAAAGGAAAATCCTCCATTCCCAGCCACCGGCCACCCCTCTCCGGAGACTGCAACCGCGGAGGCGCTCGGAGCCGGTACGTAAAGATTGGCTTTGGAGTCTCTCCTTCCAGTGTAGGGGTTTGGGGGTGTCAGGCAGATAAAGGGTCGAAGCCGTGAAACCGTGAACCAACCTGGCATGAGGTAAAGCTCTGAAATCCAGCAGAACCCGGCACTTGCTAATTTGGACGTGGCTTTTTTTAAGGTTTTTTTTTTTTTTTTTTTGGGGGGGGAGGGGGTGCTGTGACTGGGTAGGGCTGTCTCTGGTCTTTTGGGGGGTTTCATCCCCTCACCTAGCACAGAGGCAGGGCAGCGGCGCCCCAGGCTGGACCCACGCGCCCATCCGTCCAATCGACACGTTGCAGGTGAAGCCCCGTGCGCTGCACCTCAGCGCGGCGGCAGCGTGAGTGTGCGCGGGGGTGAGTGTGCGCGGGGGTGAGTGTGAGTGCGCGCGGGGCGCGTGCGCGTCGGGGGCGTGTGTGCGCGCGTGTCAGTGTGCCCCTTCCAAGAAATGCCCAGTGTGCACCCCGTGCACAATCAGAACCCATTCAGCACAAGCCCGGGGTGGGAGGCGGCGCTGCTGCTGGAGGCGATGGGGAGAGCGAGACAGACATGTCAGCAGCAATGCAGATGGGGCTGGGGGCCGCACTCGCTGGCGAGTTAAGTGGGAATTGTGTTTCTGCGTGTGTGTGAGTGTGTGTTGCTGTATGGTGCCGCTTCTCCCTCCTTTCCTCCTTCCTTCCCACTTCCCTCCTTCGCTCGCTCCCTCCCTCTCTCCTCTTCCATTCAGGTTAGCTTTCCCACCTCTCATCCATGCCTGTCCCAGGAATGGTATAGCCAGACCTTTTCTGAATTATTTATAGACCGGTACCAGCTGTTTTCAATTCCTCTCGTGTGCACTCTGTGGGAAATGCGGGGTTTCCTCCCCCCTTTCCATAAAACGAATTGATATCTTTTTCGGAATGCATTTTTCTCACCCTCCGGGGGACACCCGAATCAAGCCCTGACCGCCTCTTTTTCCCCCTTAGGAAGGGGACGCTTTGGGAATGACCATGCTCCACCGAGGGACGGAGCCGGCCCCCAGCTTCTCCACACAGAGCCTCCTCCACTAACGCTCCAAAAACCAAAAACCGTAATTGCCAGAAGAAGCGTTAAAAATCTATTCCAGCCACTAACCTCACATGCACACGGAATAATTACTCTGGATTCTGCATTGTGAGCTGCTCTCCATACCCTGAATTACCTTTGAATTAAATCTTTTTTTTTGAATTTGCATCTCTTCAAGACACAAGATTAAAACAAAATTGACGCTAAATTGGATTTTAAATTATCTTCCGTTCATTTATCCTTCGTCTTTCTTATGTGGATATGCAAGCGAGAAGAAGGGACTGGACATTCCCAACATGCTCACTCCCTTAATCTGTCCGTCTAGAGGTTTGGCTTCTACAAACCAAGGTAGGGCAAATTCTATTTTATTTTTTCCTCACCTGGGGTAGGGATTCCTCCTTTTATCTATCTCTTCGAGTCCCTCAAGTGGATCTTTTTGGAAGAAAAGGTCACAAGATATGAAAATAATGCTGTTTTCGGGAAAAGGCTTATTACAAAGGAGGAAATCTCCCACGTTTTTTCTTTTTATTCTCTCATCAAACAGGTTTTGGGCTTTTGGGGGGCAGTGGGGATTGGTGTATGCAGGCACAAAAGATGTTGGATGGCATCAGGGGTATCTGTATCTGTGTCTATATCGACATAGCCAGCCAGGAGACCTGTGTGATTTTCCAGTTAAATAGCATTTTATTCACCCAGAGCTAAAGCTCCGATTTTTATGGGAATCTAGAAATCTTTTTTTTTTTTTCCAGGTTGGCTTTATTCCCCTTGTCACCTTCATGCCTCTCTCCCTGTCTCCTGTCTTTACCTTCCTAGTCATCCTTTCTATGCCCTTTAAAACAGATAAAAATAATGATTGAGATTACTGTGATTGTTGCCCTGAAATCCACTTGCTGTCTAAAGGGTTGACACTGGGCCCAGAGATCCCGGGAGGCCTATTGCAGAGGGGTAGGTCTAGGTGGGGATCAGGCTGGTCCAAGAACAGCTGGACTTGAAGGATGCTGCAGGTTAAAGGACTTAAATCTTAAGCTCGGAAAGGAGGAATTCTGTCAATATTCTGCTTTTAATTTGTATTTTTTCCTGTGCTATTATTTTTGAGCTGTAAATTTCTCCTTCTGTCTACACATCTATTTATACCCACACATCCTCCAAGCAAACTGTTACTTCCACACTCTTGCAAAATGGCTATCTTGCAGAGTTCTAAAATGCTGTGCATGTGGAAGGGGTGCAGAATTCGACACGTGAGTCTTTGTGTTAAACAAAGAGATGTGCTGTTTGCATGTGTTAGTCTTGTACCCTCAAAAATGGAATTAATACTTTAATATTTTCCCTTTCATCAATTTTTACAATATGTGAAATGTGATTAGGCAGTATTTTAATGTACTTGAAAAGAGAAATAGCAGGAGAAATGGAAAAGACTTAGCTAATGACTCTTCAGCTAGTCACTCATGCAATCCAAGACAACTCTTGAGAAAATCAGATCATTCATGGGTTGTAGGGCGATGATGGTGAGTGGACTGCTCCTTTCCTTGCTCCACTGACCATATATCCCTGAACTCCGAAGGTGTCTAAATGCAGGAATCAGGCTGGGATAAAGATCTCCAAAAATATGTAGCAGAATCATTAGCATCATTATTTTTCCTAAAAGTGTTACCACCCCCCGAACACACACACATTTTTTTTCTGGCATTTTAAAACAACAATTTTTTGATAATCCAAAATACCAAAGGGATGTGGGGAAGTGGTGAAAGATCTTTGTCGCTCAACATGATAGATGATCGTTCTTCATTGTCCAGAAAGGATAGATGTAATCCAAATTCACTATCCCCCTTCCCTGGGTTTCATTCTTTTGAGTTTTACTGCTGAAATGCTACTTTGTAACCATGGTGTAATCAGAGTGAGAGGGTGGGATCCCACTTTGAACCATGTTCTCACCACGTCTACAAATAGCTGAGGTTATCTGGCGTGTGCTCACCTTAAAGACACCTGAGCTCATTCTCCATCTGCTTCCACTCCAAGTAGGAGGATGAACTCTTAATTTGACTTCAAAATAGAAAAGAGGTATGGGTGAGAAAGGCAGCTCCATGTGCAATGCTTTCATACATACAAATGGACAAGGAGAGGAGGCATTGATGGGGCACAGGGCCCCTTTTGCATCCCCAGTGCCACAATACCAGTACTCTACACCCAGTAGGTCCTTTGGAATGTTTGTTTGTTGGTGATGGGGTTGAGAAGGATGCTGTTTGACAGGATCTCAGCTACCTCATTTCTCTTGAATGCCAGTGGATGAAGCCAGGTTCCAGACTATCATTAGTTGTCCCTAAGACTAGGCGAGGTGGAAAGGGGAGGGAGTTGAGGAAGAGAGGAAAAAGTGGGTGGGGAAGCTATAAAGGGAAGGGAGAGGTAATCCAATTGGAAAGGGCTTGTTAAGATTCAAGGAGGAATCGCCACAGGTGGTCTGTGCCTTTTCACCATCCAAAGCCATTTTGGAGACCCTGATGAGGAGGCAGGTGTTCCCCATCCTCGCGGGCAGTCTCTGTGAGGCTGTGACTCAGTGGTGCTCTGAGCCATCTCAGGGGCATTGTTCTCGCCCCCTTTTTTCCCCTCACAGCACAGAGCTGACTGGGTTCTATTTTGTCTTTTCTCCTTCTGCCACCCCCCTTACAGTGTGGGTGACATGGGAAAGAAAGGTAGCTGCTGGTGGGAGGAAGAGCAAATTTAATTTCAATCGAGGAGCCTCCATGATGTGCAATTAAGAAAAATAATAATAATGGGAAATGAAGACTTCCCAGGACACAGTTAAGGACATTAGGTGGGTGATTTCAAGAGAAGCTGAACAACATGGTTATCTTCTATGTCTGTTTCAGGTGTGGCAGAGCATGGCGGATCTGTGAACACAGAGTGATGTGGCAGTTTAGAGTTAGGTGTTACATGTAATTTTTCCTCTCCCATTGCTTCCATCCCTAGGAAACCTGTCTGTCTGAAGATCCTTGCTTTGCTAATGTATATATGCATTTTTTGCCAGGGATGGACGCAGGCAGAGAGAATCAATAAGAAGGCAAAATGACAGGAAAGGAGGGGAAAGAGAAAAAATCCTCTATTCAATACTTTGCGCACCAAGTGCTTTTCTTTAAGTCTGATTGAGAAGAGCGACTTCCTCTGGAGAAGGGATGAACAGCAGGAACCTTGATTTTGTGTTCTTGGTTTATCTCCAGAAAGATAGCTTTGGAATCTTGACCGTCTTCCTTGACCTTCATGTACACACACCCAGCCTTGTGTGGGGAGAGGCAGGGGGTACCTGGGAGGTGGGCAAATGGACTGAAATTGGCTGGTGGAATGAGGCATGTTTGGGAGAAACAGGACTGAGCTGATCCATTCCTTGGCCACAATATTACCTTGTAAAATATTCTTTCGGTTTCCCATGAATACAATAAACCTCAGGGACAGGATTTTTTTTTCTATATTCTTGTTTAAGAATCTGAAAACGAAGGTGACATATATACTACTAACAGGTTAAGGTAAAAAAAATTGTTAATGTTTATGGGCTATAAATAATATTGATGGACTATAAAAGGAGACAGGTAAAAGGACAAATTGTATGGGAAGAAATCATAATCCCAAATCAGCAAGCAGAAGCTAGGGAAGAGAAAAAAGCCAGAGTTGAACTCACCATTCTAAAGGTGGGAAAACTATTCTTCCAAACGATAGTCTTGTGTGTTTAATATTGAGGACTGGGGCCGACAAAAGCACTCATCTTGTGTATTTTGTTGGAGTCAAAAGTGGTTGAGCTGGAAAAATGAAGCTCCTCCTTTTCTTCGGTGCCATTCTATCCCATCCTTAGGAATTCTAGAAATTTCTTCCTTTCAGTAAAATTACATTTCCAGTCGCTGCTCCTGTGCACATGACTGGATACCAGTATTGTCTCTCACTGTAAATAAATATAGATCAAAGAGTTACTGGTCTAATGAATTGTTCGCATTTATTAAAGTGCATCTCCTCTTTGCAACCACAAGAAGAAGTCTCCAGGGACAGTAGATTAGTGGTTGAATTGATATTATCTTCCAGAAGGAGGTCAAAGCTGGAACAGAATGTAGTTGGGATGAAAGAGCAGGCAGAGCTCAGAGAAGGTGGGTTTCTGAGGTTCACCTGCGGCTATTAATGGTGCCTGTGGCCATTACACAGAATCCATTGTGCTGTGAACCTTTTGGGGGATTGTGAACCCAGCAAGGCATGCTTATGAACCTTTGGTTGTTTTCTTGATGTTCTCCACCTTATTTTTGGTCTTTTCACTTCTTAGCACTTTCAGCAGAGGTTGGCAGAGAAGGGACCTCATGCACGTCTACGTTGTCCCCTTGCTGAAACTCTCCATGGCTGCCCCAGGCTGTGGAATTGCCCTCCTTTCTAGTCTTCACCAACATGTGCTCATGCTTCTTAGTTTATCCTGATTTTGTTTATACACCCTGTTTCCCTAAGAATTTTGTGAGCTCCTCAAGGGCAGGGAGAGATGTTTTATTCATCTTAGAATCATTTGTACTTAGCATAGTGACTAGCACATAATAGATTCTCAGAAAATGTTAAATAAATGAACGGAGAAAGGAAGTGAGATATTAATTAGTCGACGATGCTACCTGTTTGTTCTGTTGGGTTTAGGAAGGGTTAAAGTTATGCTGTTAGATGAGATCAAGAATATCAGAGCTATGTGACACTTTAGAAATCATCTACTCTGAACTTCTCATTTAATAAAGAAACTGAGATCCAGGGACATTAAGTGATTTTCCTAAGGTTGTATAAGTTCTTAGTGCCAGTGCTTTGTACACCATGCCATTGATTAGAGTGAAATGCAGAGTTATCTGTGGATTTTAAATATCTACATCAGTGATTCTCTAACTTATCATATATTGAAATCATCTGGAGATTTTGTGAAAATGCATATTCTAATTCAGTAAACCTGGGCTGGGGCTCCATATTTTGCATTTCTATTGAGCTATCAGTTGACACCAGAGTTGCTGGACCATGCATCACAGGTCTACACCATCCCTGCTTTTAATTATAAACCATGGTTAGTGGCCTCGGCACCAGACCATTGGCAGTTGTGCTTGTATTCTACTTTTGGGATTCCAGCACTTCTTTTTGTTTTGTTTTGTTTTTTAAATCAGAAAGAAACCTGTATATTTAAGTTCATCCATCTCCTCTCTTCTTTCACTCTTTCACCTATGCACATCTTTTGCCTGCTGTCTCTTCATTCTGTGCTCTCTTATTCTGGTCCTTCTCATAACTGATTCCTCTCTTTCTTCTTTTTCTTCTTATGTCCTCCTGCTTTTTAGTTTATCTTTTTATTAATGTCTCAGTCT